AGAAGTTGTTTAAAATTAATGCTCATTAGTTTGATTATTTAAAACTGATGGTTTCAAAAAGAGATTGAGATTCATGCTCTATTCGGTCACAACGTAGAATATTTACTGATAGTGTTATCACATCATCTAATTTTATTTTGTATTCTTAGTTTGTTAATTGACTTCGTATGGATGTTTTTATATACTTTATAGTTGACTTATCATCTATTCTTGAAGCAACTTTCAATTAGTGTTTAAAACGTTGGTCCAACTCGACCAAATAAGAAAATAGTTAACTAAAAGTTATAGTTTATAAGTTTAAAATGGATGACACGAGTGATATCATCTTTCCAAATGCTTATCGTCGTTAATGGTGATAAGTTTAGTTTTTCTTTTAACAGCGGAATTATATAAAAGAAAATTTCTAACGAGGAACTAGATAAAAAACCATTAAAAAAACAAGGTTGTCAAAATCGAGATCTTACTTAAAATCGTTTTACGTTTTGCAAAATCGTAATCGTAAGATCGGATCGGGATCGTAAGATCCTACGAAAATGAACTCATACTCAAATTTGCTCGAAAGATAGTATAATCAACTTTAACTTCTTAAGCATCACCCATAATTTTTGTTATTAAAAATCGTAAACATTAAGAATAAAACATCTTAATTAGAAATAAGATCATTTTGACCATATACAAGTAAGATATAAGATCACAGAGGGATTATTATTAGGGGTGTTCGTTTGGATGGATCGGTTTGATCCGATCCAATCAAGTGAATCCAAATTGATTTCGGTTTTCAAAACATGGATCCGAATAGTCCAAACTAAATTCAAATCCGATCCGATCCGATCCAATTACAATTCGGCTTGATCGGTTTTTATAATTCGTTTTTAAAAAACCGAGACATTTTAAAACGACATATAATTATAATATTACCCAACTTCACACAAGAAACAAAAACAAATTATTTAGTTGTGATTTAAATTTATAAACATCTACTAAGAAGATATTTTATAGATAGAATTTTTTTAGAGAAAATGCATAATAATGTTTTTTTATCGGGTGAAACGTTTCGAACCTATTTGAAAAAAATAAATTACAAAATTAATAAATAACTATAGATATATATATTATAAATACCTAAATAATAAATTTTTATTCGGTTTTTTTGGACTATTCGGTTCTTATTTTATAAACCAAAACCAATCCGAAATCCAAAATAATAATTCGGTTTTGTTGAAAACCAATCCAAAAATCCGAATATCCGAACCAAATAGTTCAATCCAAATTGTACAATTGGATAATTCGGTTTTATCCAAATAGTGAACAGCCCTAATTATTATGGATGTACTATGCCTAACGGGAGATGAAATTGATAAAATGATGATGTTTTAGAAGACTTCTTGCAACTTGTGACACTTGATTTCAAGTTGAATAGACAAACTTTTGATACCTGACTATATAAAAAAACACTAAAGAGGTGAGATCGGGATCGTAGTGTGATCGGAATTGTTTTTTACTTGTAGAATTTTAAAATTGTAAAATCGAAAGATCAAAATCGAGATTTTAACAACCTTGCCAAAAAAATACAAGTTTTGTCACCAAAAAACACTTGCATTGGCTTTTTAATGCCACATATACGATTCTAATTTTAGATTAATATAACCAAAGTTATCATCAATACTTAAATATACAAAAAAGTAATAAGCACCATAATATCAAAAGCAAAACAAACTTAACGACCTAACGACTATAGAAAAATAAGTGGCTATTATAATTTTGATGAATATATATAAGTATAAATTTGACATTTTGAAGCCACTTTGACAATTGGACCCGTTTCAAGTCGAAATGTTGGTTTGGACCGGTATATAGCATTGGCTTAGTGGTTTGACAGAAACCGGTTCGCTATGGAGTAAATTATTGCCCAGAAAGCAATGGCATTCAAGAAAGTTTGCCTTTGACTACTTCGACAACCCACAACTGATAAGGTTAATCCAAGAAAGTCTTCAACCGCATTATTGTCAAATTCATATATATTCATTGTGATTGAAGTTTTTGATGAATTAGAATCTAGAATAACTTTAAATTGCGGTATTTGGACGGTTCCACATAGTTCATCAGATTCGTTTCGTTGTGTTGCATTACTGCTCATTAGGTGAATCTCAATACTTGGAAAATGAGGAAGCAAATGATTACAATTCACACCGGACATAGTTTATATAAAATTTAATATTACATAATAACAACTTCTAAAGTGCAAAACAAAGTTATTTATATACCTTTTGATAATGTGTGAACAATATCGTTGCGATTTGATAACTAAAAAATAAATTATAAATCAGTTTTGTGATAGATGTTTTTTCTTATGGTGGATGTGTAGTACACATTATTAACTTGGTTGTGCAATACATGCTAAAGCAAACTGGAGAAATAAGAGATAAATTTAGACAAATGTTATGTGATATTTATAATTCTAGCAATAATCGATATAATAAATATGTGAAGTCTTGTAACAATGCAAATGTCATTTGGTTATGGGCGAATTTGGACGTATCTCATCAATGGAATTTGACATGTAATATGTGTGAATGTGTTTTACAATAAAATGATACTTTAAAAATGTTTCATGAGAACCTTGCACACCGTCACATGGTTAAGCCATATCCATAGTATAGTTTGGTGCTTATCAAACAATTAACCGAGATGTTTGAAGCTTTTTTTTAAAAAAAAAACAACATACTTTTTTCTTGGGTATTATCCTACAAGTTCTTTAGCCCCTGACCAAATATTTTAAATGTGTTTGGCATTAAATGATTTTGAAATGAAAAACCAATTGTTTTGTAATATAGTACAACCGATGCAAATAAAATTTAAAAAATATTCTAAAGACATGTCACCGGTTATTACTTGTGCCGATACATTGAACCCAACGATAAATGTTGGCATGGTTTGAAATTTACTTGAAAATATATCTTATAACTTGAGTTTATTAGATAAAAACGCAAATTTTACAATCGAAACAAAAGCTAAATTTAACAATATTTGTTCAAAAATAATTGTGATTTATTTAAAGAAAGAGAAATTAAATATCCTTATATTTTTTTGTGCCTACTATCTTTCTACCTATTCTAGATGGCGACAAGTGTCATTCAATTTAATTTAAATTTGAATGGAATGTTAAATTTGAAATATGGTTCAATACCCATGACTCAATGAGAAATACCGTGGAATAACCTAGATCGGCGAATCCTCCCTAATAAATGAAAATAAATTGTCACTTGTAATCCTCTTATGAATTATGTCACATGTCATTTTGTGGTAAATTTAAATTAAACTATATTCATGTGTCATTTTGTGGTTTTTTTCATTTTATTAAATTTCATATAATACTTAAACGTAATAATAAATGTATATCCAATTCATTAATATAATTTTCCTTATAATTTTTAAATTTCTAAATTGAATCTAACTATTTTAGTTGTTTATTTATTTAAATTATTAGTTTAAATTTAAAAGATAACTAAACACTTCAATTTTAATAATTAACTAGTTGTGAGACACATGTATTACATGAGTTAATTTAAAAAAAAAATTAAATATAAAGATCAAAATATTTGAAAACTTTGAATTTATAAGAAAATAAGAAAAATAATGAACTATTATAATAGAAATGTTTTTTATCTTTTAAATTTAAATAAATAAATAAAACTAATGAGCTTTAGTTTTGAAAATTTTGAAATTAAAAGGTAAGTTCATTAATGACATTGATATCTATTTATTACTACGTTTATTGCAATTATTACATTAAAATATAATGTGTAATTTTAAAAAATAGAAAAACTTATAAAATGACATGTGGAAAAAAATTAATTTAAAATAACCACAAAATAACATTTGACAATTTAAATGAGAGTGCGATAAGTGGCAAAAAAAAACTTTCATTTATTAGAGTAGATATTTTACTTTTTTTCTTATAAATTCAAGTTTTCTAAATTGTTAGATCTTTATGTTTATTTATTTTTTTTGAATAAACTCATGTAATACATGGGTTTTACAAGTAGTAACGAATCAATTAGACTAAAAAAACGAAGCTACTAAACGGCATGTACTAGCACCCCCTAGAAGCGAGTCGGATAGGTATATTAGAACTGGGTTTTTTAGCACACATAAGTATACAAGAGATTGAAAAAATATATTTTTTTGGCTTGGTGGGAAGAAAAGAAATCTCAATTTTTATTCTAGCCTTTATGGCCCGTGATCTACTAATTGTCCAAGTTTATAGAGTAGCTTCGAAATCTGTTTTTTCTGTTTGTGACAAGGTTATATATCCATGAAAAAAATAACTCACCCATGTCACTTGCGGTGTGCATTTTTTTGAAAGACTTTGGATGGCGTAAAACATGTACAACATATTTCACCACTTGAAGACGTTGGACAAATGAATACATGATAAAGAAATAGCTTTGAGATTGCTATGTGATTGTCTGTATCACTTACTTACATCGGAAGAACTCGCTTACAAAGCACTACTAAACAACAACACTGACGAGTAAACTATAAGTGGTGAACGATTAATAAGCGAAGAACGACCACTTTTACTACCAGAAAAACACCGTAGAATACTACAAAGATCCATTGCATTGCATTAGAAATGTTTGTTTTGTTCTAAATTTTTAGACTTTTCTTTTTTGTAATTTTCAATTTTGAAAACATAAAAAATACGTTTGTTTTCTCAAATGAGTTTCTTCAATCCGGTTCAACCCCATCCAATCCAATTCGTATGGGTTCGAGTTTATTTAGACTCGGGTCCGGTCTTGGTCCAAAACGATTTTGACTTTGTTTACCTCGATTCGATTTGGTTTTAAAAATGGGTCGGATAAAAAAATTGGTTTATGTAATATTTCAAGTGGGCTAAAATATGGGCCATGAACATGTTGCTAATAAAGCCCAAACAAAAAAGTAACATCTCAATTATTTTTTTCGGGGCGTATGGAACGATGACGACAAGTCGACAACTTTTGACTACCCTACTGGAAAATTAGCAAATCAGAAGCTCATCAAAGTGCCACGAATATGCGAATTTCCTCTTCATCATTGGAAGATTCGTGTTTTAATTCGCATCTGCCAACGACTCTGACATCTTCTAAAACTCCCATGGCTTCTTGATTCATACCCACACGAGTTTTTCTAGCTCCAACAACGATTTCCAGGTACATCGCACCCTCCATTTCCGCCTCTTTCCATAACTATAAATGCGTTCATTTCTCGCTTTTGTTTGTAGTTCATAACATAACATGGAGGTTGCTCATCAAAAACCCTCGATTGATTGATAATGTTGTTGTTGATAGATTATTGACGTAACATGAATCGAGATTGGCCTCGAAATAGGGTTTTGTTCCGAGATTGAAATTGAAATTTAAACTTGAGGATTTGGGTTTAAATCACGACTCAATTTCAATTTTTGAAATAGGGTTTTAAACTTTTAGTTATGATATGAAATCCTCGATTCATCACTAGTGCGAATTAGTCTCAAGCTTACAATCCATACTTTTTTTTTTCAGTTGTGCATTTCTACCTATTCTTTATTGGCAATCAGTCGAATTGTTGACTGATTGCCAATCGACCCATGGGTCCAGAGAGTCAATCAAACACAGGGAGACCCCTAGAACACATGCATGGAGTCCATGTGGTTCAACATTCACCATTTGAGTTAGAAGAAATCTCTCAAAATGGAAACTTTCAGCAGTCGACCCATGGAAGGTTGACCATAGGAGTTAACCAGCTCTTAAGAGTACACACTGTGCAGTAAGTGCAAAACTTATCCTCTTTTACCTTCAAATTCCTTGTTACTTATAGATTCTTCTGATAATTATGTATACATTACAACATTATTTCTATCTTTTTTGTTGATAATAGGAGAGTATGGGAGCAAAGACCATCATGTCTAAGACCCATTAATAGTTGTTTACATGGTAATAATTCTTGATATAATTTTTTATGTATTTAGTCACATCCCAAATCCCAATACACTACACATTTTAACATTATTTTTTAATTTATTCTAGGCGATAGACATCTTGCTGAGAGAATTGCAAATGTTCTTACTTCAATTCCTTTTATTGCTGTTGGAATTCAAGCTCCAAGGCATGTTCTTTCCATATATATCTTCAATGTTTATACTTTATTCACTAAATTACATTTTGGTCCTTGGGTATAGCTGATATTTTCAATATTGGTCCCAAAAAGGTTTTTCCTTAAACTTTTGGTCCTTATTTGTGGTTTACCTAACCTTTTTGAATCATGTTCTAAGTAAAAGTATTATCTTTTATATTTAGGGACTGAATTTGCAAAAACTAGCTATACTCAGGGACGAAAAACTTAATTTACTCTACTTTTATATCTATGGAGTCTAACTGTTGTTATTCCAATTTTCAGAAAGAATTTGAACTCAAAACTTTATGCAAATTCATTAATTGGAGTAGGAATTGCATCAAGTTTATACCATTCTTCTAGAGGAAAATGGAGAAAGTATTTAAGATGGGCTGATTACACAATGATAGCAACAGCCACAGTGGTTAGTAAAAAAAAAATAATAAAATTATTTGTTTTGCATTTTTTTTAATAACTGAAATCACATATAATGTAAAAATGAAAGTACATTGCTATTTTCAGTGTTTATCAAGGGCACTTAGGGAAGAAAACCCAAAACTTTTAATGGCTGCATCTGCTTTATGTCTTCCTATTCAACCACTTATGGTTTCAGCTGTTCATACTGGGATGATGGAGGTATGCTTCTGCTTTATCAAAAGATGGTGAATATGTTAAAAGGACACATCAAGTCATATTCATTTTTGTAATTATTTTTTTAATAATTATTGTGTCTTATATTTTTGGTTGAAGGTTGCATTTGCAAGAAGAGCTTTAGAAGATCCAAGGCTAAAAGTTGTGCACAATGTTCATAAAATGTCAGCACTTTTAGGAGGAGCTTTTTTTGTGGCTGATGATTTGTTTCCTGAAATTCCATATCTTCATGCGGGTTGGCATTTAGCTGCTGCAATTGGTGTAGGTGCTTGCAACAAGCTTCTAGAATAGTCAAGTCAAATGAATCAAATCAAATCAAATATATAATTTGTCGAAATATCAAAATAGGTTTTGCTTTTGCTCACTTATCGGTGGCTATATAAACCTATATTAGTTATTATTTAAGTAAAGATTGTTTGTTATAGACTAGAGTTATTATCATTGTGTGATACTTAAATCATGTATGTTGCTAAATGGTAACTTAATAAGATTTACATTTATATTTATTTAATGCTAAATCATTGTGGTTATAGTTTTCCTAAAGATATTCAATGTCTACTACATATGCTTATTACAAATCCAAAAATAAGAAATAGACACTATATCATCATCAAAAAAAATGGATCTTTCCTAGGCTTATCAGCTCCAAAAACCAACTTATTTCGGAAATTCCAAATAGCACAAAATGTGACAATAACAACTGCATCAATTCATACAACACTAAATCATATGATGAATCATATAGGCATCTAATTCATACAACACTAAATCATATAATGTTATAAAACAATGCCTAATTTAACGGATGTAGAAATGATTTACTCGATGAAACTTAATTCTTTTATATCAACCCTAAAATCCCTCAAAATCCAAGCATATATAGTCCACGACCTTAATGGAATAATATCACCCCCTAATATAAATACAAAAGTCCCAAAGATGAAATATATTACAAAAATCTCATAGGTGTCTACTTGATACTCATGAAAACACAACCACGAAAGAAAATTTGTATGTCGATTAACTATTGTATGCGTAACAAAATCTATCACAATCTTAAACATACATGAATGAATGAATGAATGAATGAATGAATGTACGGAATTTAAAATCAAATCTGTCTACAAATACATCTTCCTATCCTCTCACATGTAATCAAAATCAAAATCAAAACAACTCTAATGTACAAACTACAACTCCATGAATCATGTACAAATCAAAGAATGAAATAATTTCAAATAAAAAAACAAACAAAAAAACAATCTTAGCCTTGTGTGATTGTATTCGAGTCTTGTATTGTTGTATTTGTATGGCACATGCAATTTGGACATGGGAATGAATATATGGAATCATTTGGTCTTTTCAACTCCATTCCCTTTGAATCACTATGCGCCCTCATACCTAACATGTGTCTTTTGAACGTTCTCCATCTGACAATACAACATAACATACATCGTTGTAAAGTTATAATGAAGGAATGGAATGGAATGAAGGTATGGAATGGAATCGGAATGTGATACCCGATGTTGGGATTGTCAAAGTACAATGCTAATTTGCGTTTATCGGGTCGGATTGTTTTGGCATGTCCATTGAAGAGGTATCTTCTATGGCCAAGAAGAAAATGTGGGAAGTTTCCACCTTGAGTTGTTACAAATACTTCACTATGGAGACAAACCGTGTAGTCTATAGCAGCCATTCTTGATGAATAGTTCTAAAAAAAAGGAATGGAATCGTTCATTCCATTGGAATGGAAAAAAAAAAGGAATGGAATTGACAAATGACAATTGATTCCTTCTATTTCGTTTCTTTTCATTCCATCGTGATAGGGAATGAAAATTAACAAAATGGACGGAATCAGATTCCAATGGAATCATCAATTCCATTCCATCATACAAAGAAAGACATTAAAAAAGAAAACCTTATAAGGTGCAAGTTCCTGAGAAGATACCAACATCTCTTTTGTTTGTAAAAGAGGAAACATTTCTAGCAAAGGAGCCATATATCTTTCTGAATTATATATTTGTCCAGATGCTAAAAATATCGATGTACTTTTATCAAATCCCATTCCCCTAAGCATCAATCCCACCTAAATAATTTCCAAATCAACAAATAATTAATTCTCAATATTCTATATATCAACAAAATGACCATTTTACCCTTACATTCCAAAAAAAAACAGATTTCACAATACTAAGTGCTTAATCCAGTAATCTCATGATGGTCTATTTCTTTTTCTTTCCTTTCTGTCTGAGTGAGACTAAATGACCATTTTACCCTTACAGTAAAAAAAAAAAAAAAGATATTAATTATTTTATTACCTCTAAAGGAGTGAGTGGACATTTTCCATTGACCCTATTGACCCCAGGCTGAAGGACTCTACCAGGCTTTGTAAATTTACCTCTCCAGCCTCTTTCCCTTGCAGCTTTCATGTCTTCAACTTCTCTTTTTCCACCATCATATACACAACAAGAGAAAGCAACCATATCCTATAAAAAGTATAACAACAATTATATAAAAAGAATATTCAAAAACCTCTTAATTTCCCCATATGTAAACTACACTCTTAACAATAATAATACGAGTTAGTTACAATTTTGGTCCCTAAGTATAGCTGATTTTGTAAATTTGGTTCTTATTTGGATGTTTAAGTTAGATTTTTGGAAATGACCATTTTGCCCTTGGACCAAAACTGGGGAAAGAAAGCATGCCATGGGGACAAAGTTGGTATTTTTCTTACTTTTTAATTAAGGATTATGAGATTTTTTATACATGTATATGAATTTTTTTAATTTTTATATTACTTTTAGTGTATATTGTAAATTGATTATTTGTTAATTATTAAGTTAAATTTATTTATAAATTAATATACGGGTTTTATGCAGAAAAGTCTTATTCTTTTGGGAAAATCACATAATCTGTCATTTCCTGTTAAAATAAAAAAGAGGATTTTTTCGTTAATTACAAAAATACCCCTCTACTATATATCTACCACCACACTACGTACAAAGGTATAAGTCCATAGGATCATTATTTTGAAATTTGGTCCCTATGGCATACTTTTTTTTTCAATTTGTTCCAAGGGCAAAATGGTCATTTCAAAACATTTAACAGCTAGACTACACAGGAACCAAAAACATTACAAAACTTCAAAATAAGAAGCAAAAGTGCTTTTATAGAGCTATAATACTCAAGGACCAAAGTGTAATTTACTCAATTAAAAAATAATAATAATAATAATAAAACTCAAGATTATTGATTAAAAAGATAAGAAAGCAGACCTCTTCAAACCTAAGATGCACAGAAATATACTTTCCACCATTATTAACACTTCGATCTTTCATTCTAGAAACTAATCTTTCACTTATACTCAAAATAGATTTTGAAAATTGTAAAGCTTCATAATTTGCTAAGCAACGAAGGCGTTGAACAGAAGGAGGGGCATCAAAAGACAACCGATTTGCAAATGGAGAGATCCTTATAACCCTGTAAAATTGTTACAAACATGTAGAAAATGACCAAATTGCCCTCAAGAATGCACACATTAACTAATGGATCAAAAGTTACACTCACTTTTCTTCAAGTAGCCTTGGAAGAACTGTATCTTTGTAGTAACGAATTGGTGCCCATGCTTTTATTTTGAAGTTTAATACATTTGACATGTTGTGATCAAAACGTTCCATTAAATATTTAGGTATTGTGTTCACCACACGTACATCATTTTCCAATGTTTTTATGAAAAAATCTTCATCGTATATGTCACTGAATTTGCTGCACTCAATAGGAGAAATATGGAAATGACCAAACTGCCCTCAAGAAAACAGCAAACATGACTTGCATTTGAGAGATTTAGTAGCAAACATGTTAAGTTATAACCTATATAGGGCTTGTTAAGTTATAACTTATAGTGTCTTGTAGATATATAGTAGAGGGGTATTTTGGTAATTTATTCACAAAAGAATATACTTTCACAAACCTGGGATCTCTCCAAATGCTATGAAAATGAAAATTGGGAATGACTAATGTTGCATTAAGAAAGCCAGCCACAGCAACTGCATTGCAAATCTAGAAGAGAAAACATAAAACAAAATATGTATTTATTATTTAATTTTATAAGAAATTTAATGTAATGGGATTGAGAGCATTTAGATTACAGATGTTCTTTGTTGATTCAAGCCACCATTTGCGTCGATATATATGTATCCATTGGACTCTGGTAAGCCTATAACAAAGGTTAAAAGAATCTTATAAAAGCTAGAAAAGAAACAAATTGATAGATGAACTCTTTCATAATAGAAATATATAAATTCAATTGTGACAATTGACAAACCTGTTCTAAAACTAAAACAAAACTCTTTGATAGTTTTCATACCTCCTGAAGACTTGTTAATACAAGGCCTCCAATCTGTACCTTTAGCACGTTTCCATAGGGTTGAAATCTACAGAGAAGATGAATAAATCAAGAAAAGTAGTAATTCGAAATTGGAACAAGATCCTAACAAAAGAGGGATCAAAATTACATTAGGGAAAACGTTGCAAATCACTAACCGCATCAGCAGTCGAATTATCAACATCCATTTCATGCCGGAGCTTAGCGTACAGCTCTGGACTCCGGTAGACTGACCCGACAGCCATTGATGGTCTGATTGAACCGGAAACGGCGTCGAATTGAACAGTCCCCATGTAGAAGATCATGCTGGAGAGGTAGAGAAGTGGGGCGAAGAGTAGGACGCGTTGGCGTCGAACAAGGACGGATAGGATGAACCGGGAAAAACGTCGGAGGAAAGAACGGTGAGTGAATCGGCCGGAGGGCTTGGAGGAGCGGTGGTGAAGGTGACGAGGGGAGGCAGGGGGTGAAGGGCTGTTGTTTCCGCTGGTGGGGAGCCGATTTTTGGCGTGCATTTCTTGGTGGATCAATCACATGATAGGGGTGGGGAATCCAAATTAACGGCGTTCCCTCTCGCCCTTTTTTGTTTGCCGGAGATTATATATGCAGAGTATGAAGAACACACACAGATGTGTGTGTGAGAAAGAGAGAATCAAAGAATGTAATGTCTAACGTGTGTTTATGTTTGTGTGAAACTGGATGAAGAAGAAGAAGAAGAAGAAGACGAAGGACTGTGTGTGTGTTTTGTGAATCACGTGGAGAAGGAGGAAGACGATGGTGATGATATAAAGTAATATACATCGGACTTTCGGATCTTAGACGGATCGGATATTTGGCCGGATCTCAATGGTCGTGCTCCAATGTTGACATAAAATTATCAAACATCATTAAACTCTCACATCCCAATATTAAAAAAAATGGGTTAATATGATAATCTACAACAAATTATTTGAAAGGTATATTAAATTAAGAAAAAAACATTGTTAAAAAATAATAAATTAACTTTTGTTTTTAAAACACTTATTAATAATTTTTTGTTTTTGTTATAATGGTATTTTAAAAACAAAAATTATAATTTATCATTTTTTTTAGTTTTATTTTAGTTTAATAGTACTTTTAAAATATTTTATATAGGTCATTATCTTTTGGTAGTTTAGTTCACAATTTGATAATATTTTTATTTTATTTTTAGCATTTATCTATTATCTAAAAATACATAAAATTTATTGATTATATAATTCTGAATAATTAGTTAAGTACACATCAATATCAATCTATCTTTCAGATAAGATATTACGTTACAACATTCACAGTTTAATAAAAACTACGATCATTATATTGTGGATGTTCTAACATAAATTTGTTTTGAATGAAAATATATCGATATTAATCTCTAATTATAGAGTACAAAAATTATTAATATTGATATTTTTGGTTATTTTTTAAACAATATAAAAGTTTACAAATTAAAAATATTAGTTAGGCCTCTACGTTTAATCTAAACGGTTAAAATGATTACATTCACTTCATTTTTGCTTGAAACCTTGGATTCATCTTAATAGAGAATCCACTTCCATCTCAGATTTATCTAGGTCTATTATTTTGATATAATAAGTTAAAAAATACAAATGATTCTAATGAAATTTCATGAAAATAAGTGACTTGACTAGTGGATCTGAGGTTAAGATAGATCCAAATGAATTATTAAGATTACAAAATTAATAAATTTCATTTATTTTAGATAATAAATTTGGGTTATTGCTACTGTGCACCCACGTACGTTTCATTTTGGGTTTAAAAGGTCCTTATTCTATTTTTTAAGCTTTTTAGATCCTTACACTTTCAAATAATTGGTTAAAAGAGTGAATATGACCATTTTAACTGGGTTAACCAGTTGCTTATGAGTACGTGGATGTCCACGTGTGTAGGCATAACCGATTTCCTCTTATTTACAGACATTGGTCTAGGGTTCCATCGGAACCATCGATTCACTTACCCTCATTCAAACCGATTTCTCTCTCATTTTTCGTCAAAGATGGCAGATGATGAAAATGGGTATCTTAAACTTGAGCTAAACAAATGTACTTTTTGTACCTAAACAAACCCTTTCATAATGGTATTAGAAAAATAGAATGTTATATAGAGTATGTCGAGTTCATACATGTTTCATACGCTATAGGAGGAGGTAAAACTTCATTATTCATTGACCACATTGGTGACGAATTAGAGGGTTGGTTTGTGTCAAGTGAAAATGAAGTAATTAGTGGTGATGATATGGAATTAGTTACTCAGGGTCAAAGAGAAGAGGAGACAGACATAGAAAATTTATCAGTGGACTTGGATGAATTGGGTGAGAAATATCAAATGAACAAAACTAGGAATGATGTTTTTTTTAGTAAGTTGTGCATGGATGATGAAGATGAAGTAGGTCATGCACACAACCAAGTAGTTGGTGACATTGCTTTTGATGAGGAATGTGAGAATAACCCTGAATGTGAGGAACATTGCATCTTTAATAAGGAAATCCCATGGAAAAAACAGAAACCAATATTGGGAATGAGATTTGAGAATCCAAAACAGTTGAAGCATATGTTATGTAACTATGCAGTTGCTAGTGGATATCAATTATGCTTCAAGAAAAATGATACCAAAAGACTGTTTGTATTATGTTGTGATGGAGCTTGTTTATTTAGACTTTAGGCATCATGGATGGGTGATGAACAATCTTTCCAGATTAAATCATTGAAGCCTGATCACAATTGTGCTAGGAATTTGAAGATGGGGTCGATTGTAACTTATGCCTAGATTGGAAGTAATTTCACTAAGAAAATTATGCATAGGCAGAAACTGAGTCATAGACAACTTAGACTCGAGGTTATGACAAAATTTGGAATAGTTGTTAGTGTTGGACAATGCAGGAGGGCAAAGAAATATGCTTTGAGTATAATTGAAGGTGATATTAAGGAACACTATGCAAGAATGTGGTCCTATGGTGAGGAAATAAGAAGATCAAACCCTGGTTCCACTGTGAAAATGGATACTAATCCAATGCCAGATGGTACAAACTACTTCAGTAAATTCTATGTTTGTTTTGTTGGACTGAAAAAAGGTTAGATGGATGGTTACAGAAGAGTAACAAGTTTAGATGGATGCTTCCTCAAAGGAGTTTGTAAAGGGGAATTGCATGCTGTTGTAGGGAGGGATGCCAACAACCATATTTTTCCTATTGCATGGTGTGTTGTAAATGTAGAAAACAAAGAGAACTGGAAGTGGTTTTTGGACTTACCAATTGATGATCTTGACCTAGTTAGAGGAAATGGCTTGACACTGATGTCTGACTAAAACAAGGTACTTTGTTTTTTTTCATGTTATTAACTTGTTGTGTGCCATGATGTTAATTTATTATTTGTATTGTAAGGACTAATAGAGGCTGTTAAAGATCTACTGCCTCATGCTGAGCACAGGCAGTGTGCAAGACACATCTTATCCAACTTCAATAAAAGGTTTCCTGGAGCCCACTTTGAGACATGTTATGGGCTGCAAGTAAAGCAACAACAAAAGCTGCATTTCAATCAAAAATGAAAGAAATTCAATTGTTAAGCCCATAAGGATATACCTATTTGATGGATAAGGATCCTAAAAATTGGTCAAGGTCACATTATAAATTAGGTAGATGTTGTGACTCAGTAGAGAATGGGCAGTCTGAAAGTTTCATTTATGTAATAGTAGATGCTAGGAAAAAGCCTATCATAACAATGTTGGAAGAAATAAGGCTTTACATGATGGAGAGAATGTACATAATGAGAGCAAAGGGATGACATGGGAACACAACCAAGTTTGTCCTGCTATAAGGTTGTTGTTAAATGACTTGAAGAAACATCAAAGGTATTAGCAAGTGTATGCAAGTGGTCTTAATCAATTTGAAGTAAGAAGTGGTGTAGAGGGTTTTACAGTAGACCTTAAAAGGAAAACTTGTTCTTGTAGATTATGGGATGTTACAAAAAGCATGAGACAAAAAAAAGTTAGGTGCAGTCAACTATACAGAAAGCTATTAATACATCAAAAAAAATGATCCACATTTTAAAAAGAAAATAGAAAATCCGAAGGGCAATTCAATTTCCTATTGCTTTTATTTTGTATAGCATTCCATTTTAATTTTGATATATATAGAGATATATATATATATATATATATATATAGATATATATATATATATATATATAATTTTGAATAGCATTCCATTTTAATTTGATTTATATATATATATATATATATATATATATATATATATATATATATAATATATATATATATATTATAAAACATTTTAATCATATCTTGAATTTTAAGAGGTATAAGTTATAAAACGTTTTATATAAATCAATTATGCATAAATAATTCATTAATACTTGCCAAAACTTTGAAGACTTGAATTAAGAAAAATAATTAATAAATTTAATTAGGAACAAAATAAAAATTTTAAAAGATTAGATTCATGTATATAAATTAATTTTCATTTCTTAAACTAAACACCAATATTAATTAATTTACATCAATAGTATAAACAAACAATATAAATATATGGTATAAACATAAATATTTTATTTAAAAATGATAATTTTTTTTATTACATAATAACTAATATATTATATATATATATAGATATATATATATATATATATATATATATATATATATATATATATATATATATATCCCAAAAGTATCTAAAAAACTCACTTATAAATGACGAGTCTTGCTATATTGCTTTTTGTTAAAGAAGTTATCAACATAATGGATGTACTTTTGAAATGACGAGTTTAATCAAAAACTTAAAATGATAGTTCAATACAACAGAAGTTTAATCGTCTTAAAGTGTTTAATTGCTATTTAATATGACACATTATGGAGTTTAAGTGATATTATACATTATGATTATTGGTATTGTAATTGTTAGTCGGTACAGATGTTTGTTGGTACAAACTTCACCAAACACATCTTTATATCACCAAATAAATATTTCTTCATATTTCAACATCTTATATTTTTATTATGTACCTCCTATGATTAGGGGTGACAATGGTGTAATACCTATAATTTGGACATGGTCAAAAGTCAAAACTAAAAATATATTAGAAATTTTGATTTTATATTACACGACAATTTTTATGATCAAGTATAATATGGATTTAAATGGATGTTAAAGAATCTACAAATTCATGTGGAATGCTTACTATTTTGGGACATGAAAATGTCAATTTGTATGAGAAATACATAATAGCATGATATTTGATTGTCTAAAAAATGTAATACTGTCAATATTTTGGGCAAATATCATATTAGCCTATCGAACTTGCCGTGCTTGTTTTAAAAGGTCACCCAACTTTTTTTTGTATATTAAGGAAATGAACTCTCGTTTAACCTGTTAAAAAAGTCACTTAACCCACTATAACATGTTTTAATCTCATTGTAGCCTCATTTCGGTTTCTTATACCAAAATCTTTCAATCAATCGAGTCAAATTCTTCCATTTTCATCACTAGAACAAAAACATTTATCCAACCAAACAACCCACCACCCCTAATGATCTGATCAATGTCAAACATCAAGAATTCAAGTTTTTCAGATCATCCACCAATGTCTAAACCATTTCTAACATGAATTAAGTGAAAAACGTTTTCATAAAATAGGAATTTGTGATCTAAACTTAGATACAAAGGAAAAATCCCTCTTGCATCAATGTATTT